AAAACATGAAATATTTTCAAAAAGTCCAACACTTTGTATGCATTCTTATAGATACGAGAGTCATTACAAAGTTTGTCTAAACGAAGACGCTTTTCAAAAATACTTTCAAAATCCACCACAAACACATTTCAAACAAAGCAAATTCAAAAGTGATCTAGCAAGAAACTAAGAGCTCGTAGATAACTATGGATGAAAAGGGTGTTAACACTTTCCCTTTTCATAACCTACCCCCCGAACTCAAGAAAATATATCAAAGGTCTTTCCTGTTCTTTTCACCCTTTCCTTATTGAATAAAAGAAAATTCGGTGGCGACTCTTGCTATCCACAACAATTGCGATCAAACGCAAAACAACCAAGTCAGTTCTCCCACCGTATTACAGAATGAATCCTGTTGTGCATCAGTTGCACCTTCGACAAAAGGAATCACAATTCTTAATCACTTCAAGAACATCTTGATAGCCAAAAAACACCTTCATTTGCTTGCACCATTTATCGTAATTCTTCGCTTCAAGGAGAGGTAGGTTTATAGGGACTATATCATTGAAGACGATATTCATGTTTGTACAACAGATTATGGATCAGAACTAGGCCCTTGATGCCAAATGTTAGAACATACAATCACATAATTGATAAATCAATGGATGTTTAGGGCTTGTGGAGAAGAAGATAGTGAGAGAAGAAGAGAATTAGAGAGAGAGAGAGAGAGAGAGAGAGAGAGAGAGAGAGAGAGAGAGAGAGAGAGAGAGAGAGAGATTAATTAAGGGTGAGAATGAGCAATATCCTTATTTTTTACTAGTTTGAGATGAAGATGTCTCCAAGGCATTTATACAAGTGATGTACAACAATTAGGACCTAAAACAAAACCTTAAACTACAAGAAAAAGCAAGTAATCACACGCATAACCGATTAACACAAACTGCTAATTGGTTACCACTGAACAACAAAAACTAATAAGTGTTAGGTGTAATCGGTTAACGCATTTGGTTAACCAATTAACACATCCACAAAAGCACTTTTTCCTTACTCCAGAGGTGCTTCTGACCAAGTTGTAAACGGTTACACCCTCATGTTAACCAATTGCAGCACTTGAATTATTGAATTTTCATCCAACAAACATTGCTAAGTAGCAAGAAAGTTTTTTCTTGTGACTTAGCAATGTTTTATTGTTGTTCTGAGAAACATTATTTATCAACAACAATAATATTTATCAATAAAACAACAACATATAATAATATATCCACTCATATCCACTCATATGTTAATTGATGTTAGTGAGACTTTATTTTCTAATGGGTTAAATGCATTTTACCCTCTACAGTAGTTGTGAGTTTTGATTTACCTCCTTTTAATTTTTTTTCTTTTAGCCCCTCAACAAAACAAGATTCCCTTCAATTTGACCTTGGGTCAAGATTCCAACAGAATCTGCATATGTGGCGCTTGACATGATTTTTTTTTTAAATTCCACGTGGAAATTCGACTATTTTTATTTTTAATTTTAATTTTTTTTAAATTTTAAATCTTTTTTTAATTTTTTTTAACTTTTAAATTTTTTTTTAAAATTTTCTTTTAAATTTTTTTATTTATCCCATATTAATTTGATATATTAATTTTGTGTGGTACTTAATTTTCTTGGTAGGTACTTAATTTTATTTTTTTGGACGGTTGAAAATACGAATATAATAGTATACACGATCAAAAATATAGTATACGCGTGAATAGAAAATACGAATCTAATAAATTAGTAGTTAAAATATATTTTATTTTGTTGAGGTTTTTTTTCTTCTGAAAACAAGTAATATATAAAGGAGTATTAGGGATACTCAACCCCACTTACAACAATAAGATTCTAAACTAAATGCGCTTTATTTAAAACACACAATTGTGTCCTTATATAAGCTACTATATTTATCTATCTCCAATAACTAATAATTTAGAATACCTATGAGAACATAATAATAATGCCCAAGTAATAACATCTTAGACTAAATATTTTAGAGACTAATTAATTTTACACTATCACCCAATTAAAATTAAATTCTTTTAATAACTATTTCTTTCATATTTTTCTCCTTTTATATGTCAAAATAATTAATTTTAATTTGATAACAATATAAAATAGTTTTAAATTGACATTGTATTTTACTTAATCTTAATATTTTATTACATAATGTGTGCATCACAAACTTTTTTTACTAACAAAGTAATTCATGATTTTTACCGGATTATTTTTTATATTGACCTTAATGTTTTTTTTTTCTAGTGTTCATTGTTTTTTCTAAAGCTTCAAATGATAATTTCTTTATTAGAATTATGTTAAGTGTTGTTTAAAATTATATTATCGATGATTCAACTCGATCAGGTTCTATTTTATCCAATCATCACTACATATGAAATATTCTTGATACTCGATCTTCGTCACCCTCCTATTGTCGGAATCAGGAAGAAAACCATTCAACGTTTGTCGGCAAAATCTCGACCATCCAAAAAAACAAAATTAAGTACCTACCAGAAAAATTAAGTACCACACAAAATTAATGTATAAAATTAATATGGGATAATTAAAACAAAACAATAAGCTTATTCAAGTGGGAGAAAGTAAAAATAAAAAAAAATAATAAAAAAATAAAAAAAATAAAATAAAAAAAGTTAAAAAAAATAGTCGAATTTCCACGTGGAATTTAAAAAAATTAAAAAGTAAATAAAAAAACAACGTCAAGCGCCACGTATGCAGATTCTGCTTAAATCTTGACCCAAGGTCAAATTGGAGGGAATCTTGTTTTGTTGAGGGGCTAAAAGAATTTTTTTTAAAGGGGGTAAATCAAAATCCGCTACTATTGTAGGGGATAAAATCTATTTAACCTTTTCTAAATAATTTTCCCTATTTTCTTTTATTTTCCTTTTTCCACTAGTAAAAGAAAAAAAAACTAAGCAATTCTAAGTAGAAAAATTGGGTTTTACAAATTGCTATCATTTTTTTTATGCTATAGTGGATAAAACAAAGGGTTAAATATGTTTTTGGTCCTTATAAATATAGTGATTTTCATTTTTAGTCTCTCTAAAAATTTTCTTGAAAAAATGATCCCTCTAAAATTTTCATCCACGCAATTGGTCCGTGACGTTAAATGGCACTAACGGAGGATGACGTGGCATGATTGGTGAATTAAAATATTAATTTTCTTGACAAAAATCTGAAAATTCCTTAGATTGAGGGGGTTACAAACCTCCTCTAAACAAACCCAATTCAACCAAAGTAAAAAATCTCATTGCTCCACACCATTTCTATCACATGAAGAGCAATGCTCCACATCATTGCTTCCTAAATTCATCTCTACCGCTCTTCCTTTACAACCATACGTAAGAAAGGTATGGGTCTCTATTGCAAAAGTAGACTTTTGAAAATGTTAAGGATGTTGTAAAATTATGAATTTTTGTTGTAAGACAAAGATATGGTATGAATAATAAGAGATTGGAAAATGGACACACTATGTAACTTTAGAAAGAATGACATTAGAAAACCCTTGGTCAAATAAATGATCATAATATTTGACTTTTTTATTTAGAAAAATATTTAATTATTTATACTGAAGTTATTATTTTCTAAGTATGGTTGTCATTCTCTTTCCCAAGTATGCAAGTGCAACACACTAAACTGTAAACTAAGGACCTGAAGAAGCAATGACAGAGACATGCAATTGCGACACACGACACTGTAATCTAAGAACTTGAAGAATCAATGACATGAAAGTAGTCGCAATACCAAAAACAAAAATCTTATATCAGAGAATGTTCCATGTCTGACATATCTGAGGTTGGATAGCACTCAAAACTAATGACTTGCATCAATGTAAAAACTTGCATAAGTTGTAAATATGAAGAAGCTAGCAACACTGAAGATATACAACACATCACTTTCTTTTTTTTACATAGATGAATATAAAATGAAAATTTTACTTCCTCCGCCAACCATACCAGGTCCCATTGTTCCCGACACGTTGGATGGTGCACCACTTACCCTTCCATTTGAGTTTCCAATTACATTCAAATCTTCAAATAACTTGTAAGATGGAACAAAGGGTCTTTGTCAAGAATTCCCGCCTCTAAGATCAACTCCAGGCAAAGGGAATGAATGATTATGTTGCAAGGGCCCAACCCCTTGTGCATAAGGGTAAGAAGTTTCTGAGTTGATGCCTTGAGAAGTCGAAATTGCATTTGAAGCCGGTAAATGACTTTAATAGTTAACATATCAGAGTGTAGCAGCCCATGATGGTGGAATTGCTGAGACTGTATTTGCATCCGTTGTTGAGGTCGAAGCTGAGACTATACTTGCAACTGCGGTTGTGGTTGACGCTGTAAATGTGGATATTGTTGAGGCTGGTATTGTGATAGTTAGGGTTCATTATGTTGGTGAGGGCTATATTGGAGGTGTTGATTCTACAGTTGTGACTGAGGTAGCTCAAATTGGAGTTATCGGTTATGTTGCTGATGCAACACTTGCTCATATTCATAATGTGCATGAAATTGTTGAGGTGAGGGAGAGGTTGAGGGTTGAGGTTGAGGTTGATATATGTTGCGGATTCTGAGGTTGTAAAGGAAGAGCAGCATAAACAAATTCAAGAAGCAATAATGTAGAGCATTATTCTTCATGTGATAGAAATGATGTGGAACAATAAGATTTTTGAATTTGATTAAAATTTTTGGATTTGTTTAGAGGAGGTTTATAACACCTCAATCTAAATTCTTTTCACATTTTTATCAAAAAAAAATTAATATTTTAATCGACCAATTATACCACATCATCCTCAGTTTAATTAATAAGATTTCTTGCGGTATATTTTGTTATATCTTTGATAAAAAAAGAAAGAAAACATGATACACATTACACACACTACTACATTTGTTCTCTCTTATATTCGATTTTCCTCTCGTTCAAACGTTTTCTTTCTTCCTTCACTGTGACTGTAACTAAAACCCTTCGATAAACCCTAAATCGCAAATCCACAATGTTTTCTTGCGGAACAAAGAAGAACAGTGCTCGAGACAAAACTCGCACTCCAACACCACTCGATTCTCATTCTCCAGTTACTCCTTCATCTCTTCGAAGAAATCTCTTCAACGATAATGAAATCCCCAATCGCCCTCACACCGGAACTCCCGCTCCTTGGACTCCTCGCTTATCCGTCCTTGCCAGGCACTCTCCCTCTCTCCATCTCTCTAGAATCTGAATTTGGTTTCTCGATTTTCGTTTTTCTCATTGATTTGGATATTTTTGTATGCGTAGGGTTCCTCAAGTTAATAAAAATGGAAAAGAAGATCATACGAATCCGATTAAACCTGTTTTTGTTTCCGAGTTTCCTCAAATTGTTTATGATGAACAAGCTACCTCGCCGCATAAACGAGTTATCTGTAAGAATTTTTGCATTAATTAGTGAATTTAATGTAGTTTTTGAAATTTGGTACTCTTTGTTGATAAGTGTGTGTTTGGATTGGCAGTGGATAATTGATTTTTGACATAATTGAGTTTAATAGAATTGATTTTAATATAATTGAGTTTAACACAAATGATTTATGTTTAGATAGATTTATGTAAAAGTGAGTTGAACAACAAATTTTGGTGTAAAAATCACATTTAAACTCATAAGTTATTTTAGCATGTTTGATTTTGGCTTTTGGAAGATCCAAAGGCAATTTTAGAAGTGTATAATTGATTTTGGGTGGGTTTGAGATGTTTGATTCTTCTAATGTATGATTGATTCTGCCTCCCAAATTGATTCTACTTGAAGCTAGAATTTGTAGCTTCTGAGTTTAAATGTGATTTTTACATTGAAATTTGTTGTTCAACTCACTTTTACATAAATCTATCCAAATATAAATCAATTCCGCTAAACTCAATTCTACCACACTCAATTACGTCAAAATCAATTTTGTCAACCGCCAATCCGAACTCACAAATTCTAGGTAGAATCAATTTTGGAGGCAGAATCAATTCTTCTTTAGAAAAACCAAACACATTTCAAATCACCCTTGAATCAATTCTGCACCTCTAGAATTGCTTTTGACTCTTCTAAAAGCCAAACCAAACATGCTATAAGTTGTTTTGATGTTTTTTTTAATGTATGATGTAATGCAGTTGAAGACTGTGGCGGGTGTGGTGGGATTGACAAAAGTACATCGCTTGCTTGGATTATTTGTGGGAGCAAAGTTTTTGTTTGGAGTTACTTGTCGCCTGCGTCTTCTATGAATTGTATTGTTCTTGAAATTCCTTTGAATGATGTGGATGTTGGGAATTATGATGCTGGTAGTTGGTTGGTTTCTGTGGTTAATTGTGATAGTTCGTCTTTTGGGACGAATAAAGTTGCTAAACATGTTGCGGTTGTTTTGTGTAATAGAAAGACGCGGGCTATTGTATACTGGCCGGATATATATTCTCAGTCAAGCAATGCTCCGGTTACTAGTCTTGCGTCTTTTGATGAGTTGGAGGCTGTTGGTGAGAAAACACCGTTTAAGAGGCAGACGCGGCAAAGTAAGCAGGCGACTGATTTGAATGGGTTGAATGTCTTTAACTCTGTTATTGCTTCTGCAGTTCCCAGTTATACCTTTGCATGTGTTGCTCTTGCTTGTAGCTCAAGTGGTGAGCTTTGGCTGTTTGAATGCAGTCCTACTGGCATTCGTCGAAGGAAAGTATATGAAAATATTGTTAATTTTTTACACGAAGGGGGTGATTTAGGTAACCTCGTGAGCAACAAAGGGTATCCAAGGTCTTTGACATGGCGTTTTCCTCATCATTCTACTAAGGAATCAAATCGGCAGTTTTTGGTGTTAACAGATTGTGAGATACAGTGTTTCAAAGTAGAGTTTACTTCTGGTATACTTGTTTCTAGACTTTGGTCTCAGGAAATAGTTGGAACGGATGCTGAGCTCGGCATTAAGAAAGATCTGGCAGGTCAAAAGGGAATCTGGCCTCTTGATGTGCAGGTAGATGATCATGGTAAAGTAATTACCATTCTCGTTGCAACCTTTTGTAAGGACCGGATTAGCAGTTCAAGCTACATGCAGTATTCTCTTTTGACCATGCAGTATAAATCAGGATTGGATGTAGAGAGTACAAATGATAGGATTTTGGAGAAAAAAGTTCCCATTGAGGTGATAATTCCCAAAGCTAGAGTTGAAGATGGAGATTTTTTGTATTCCATGAGGCTACGAATAGGGGGGAAACCATCAGGATCAAAAGTCATAATATCTGGCGATGGAACAGCAACTGTTTCCCATTATCATAGAAATGCTACACGTCTCTATCAATTTGATTTACCATATGATGCTGGGAAAGTATTAGATGCTTCAGTTCTTCCTTCTGCAGATGATTATGAAGAAGGTGCATGGGTTGTGTTAACAGAGAAAGCAGGAATATGGGTAATACCAGAGAAGGCTGTCGTACTTGGTGGGGTTGAACCCCCTGAGCGGAGCTTGTCACGCAAAGGCAGCTCAAATGAAAGATCTGCACAAGAAGAGATCAGGAATCTTACATTTACCGGTAATTTTGCTCCAAGAAGGGCCAGTTCTGAAGCATGGGGTACGGGAGATAGACAAAGGGCTGCTTTGAGTGGGATTACACGTCGAACTGCACAAGATGAAGAATCAGAAGCTTTACTGAATCATTTCTTCAATGAATTTTTGTCATCTGGGCAAGTTAATGGGTCCCTTGAAAAGCTAGAAACTTCTGGTTCATTTGAACGGGATGGAGAAACCAATGTTTTTATGCGGATGAGCAAATCAATCATTGATACCTTAGCTAAACATTGGACAACAACAAGAGGTGCAGAGATTTTGTCCATGGCCGTTGTTTCCACCCATCTCGTGGAAAAACAGCAGAAGCATCAAAAGTTCCTTCACTTTCTTGCCTTATCCAAATGTCACGAGGAGCTTTGTTCGAGGCAGAGTATGAAATTTGTACTCTATTCTCAAAAAGTTCATGTTTTGATTTAATTTTCAAACCACCCCTTTCACAATACTACCTTATTCAGTTAACTCATTGCTTGTGTTTTAAGTCGGTTGTTCCTTGATGTTTATGGTTTCATTAAAAAATAAAATAAATGAGCTGCCTAATAATAATAATTGGCTGATCAGTTTATTACAGATTTTGTAAGTGGTAAAATAATCATACTTGGAAAAATTACTTGTGAAGTATGCTGCAAACAACTGTAGGGAGTGTTTTTTTTTTTCTTTCATTGATTGCATATTTGTATAAATTGATTATATCCCTAATAGAAGCTTTAAAGGAGTGAATAAATGAATAGCTAGATGGTTTTTGTTTAGACTTTAGATTTAGACGTGCATGTGGATTATGAGTTCTGGTTGGCATTGGGCCTTAGTTTTATGTGAGAATAAATTATGATTGAACAAATGATTTTGTTTTCTGAGCCTTTTTAATAAATTAAGTTTTAAAATAAATATTTATAGGTTCAGGAAACATGGAAGAAAAATTATGTAGTCAACAACAGGTAGACACTCCGTAACAAAATTATGTTTTTTCAATTGCCAGGACATGCCTTGCAAATTATCTTGGAGCATGGTGAAAAATTATCTGCAATGATTCAGCTGAGGGAACTGCAAAATCTGATTAGCCAGAACCGTTCAGCTAGTGTTGGATCCTCAAATTCTAATGTAGATATTCAGATGTCAGGTGCCCTTTGGGACATGATACAGTTAGTTGGTGATAGAGCTCGTAGGAATACTGTCCTGTTGATGGACAGAGATAATGCTGAAGTGTTCTACAGTAAGGTTTCAGATCTTGAAAATTTCTTTTACTGTTTAGATGCAGAGTTGGAATATGTTATAGGACCAGAGCATCCGTTTGCAACCCGGGTCCAGAGGGCATGTGAACTCTCAAATGCATGTGTTTCCATAATTAGGACATGCTTTGACTATAAGAATGAGAACCGTTTATGGTATCCGCCTCCTGAAGGTTTAACACCTTGGTATTGTCAACCTGTTGTCCGTAAGGGAATATGGAGTGTTGGCTCTGTCTTGCTTCAGTTGTTAAATGATACATCTGGGCTTGATAAGACAGCAAAGTTAGAGTTGTATAGTCATTTAGAAGCACTGGCCGAAGTGCTACTTGAGGCATATTCTGGTGCTGTTACTGCTAAAATTGAGCGTGAAGAAGAACACAAGGGTCTATTAAATGAATATTGGGAGCGACGAGATGCACTACTTGAATCTCTTTATCAACAAGTTAAAGAATTTGAAGCTACTTATAAGGTTATTATTCAATTTTGCTTACCTTATCCTTGCAACCATTGCGTGGAATAAGAGTATATTCTTCAACTAATTGCTTATGCAGGATTCTGTTGAAGGAGCTGAAGAATTGAATGAAGAAGCCACTATGAAAATTACTTCGCATCTGCTATCAATTGCTAAACGACATGGATGCTACCAAGTTATGTGGACAATATGCTGTGATGTAAACGACTCAGAGTTATTGAGAAATGTTATGGTACAAGTATAATTTCTCCTTTTGTATTTTGCTTTTGTTCACATTTTTCCAGATATTTTCAAAATTTTACAACCCGAAGCTTTTGTCACTGACAATATTTTTTAGTATTTTAAGGGGGAGTTGGATTTCACCACAAACAAATATCTGCAGTCCAAAGATTGAAGCCAATAAGGAAACAATAATAACTGTCCTATTCCATAGTTAGAGTTTATGGTTGTAATATGCCATGAAATTCTCTGAGCTCCACCTCATAAATTTCCATTCTTCGTTCATTTATGCATTAAACTTAAAGTATTGTTGGAAAGAGCTTTGGTATACCAAAAACCTTACACTGCATTCCCTGTCACTGCACAATCTAGAAAAGGCACCTTATTTGCAGCTCCTGAAAAAATCACTTTTATTCATGTAAATAAGTTGTTTATACCACCTATAAACTGACAATGTTAAATAGAAACTAAGCTTTCCACACAAGATTGAGCAGTGGAACGATAGTTTATGGTTTCTATTTGTTAGTATTTGAACTTAAAGATTCTATATGTACTATTGTTGCCTGTTTTTAAGAGGTGTATTATTGAACTACTACTCTCAAATGTCTGCGTTCTTCAAATGTTTCCCCCCTCAATAATGTTCCCGTGGTTTGTGTGCAGCATGAGAGTTTGGGACCTACTGGGGGATATAGTTACTATGTTTTTCAGAAACTTCATGAAAGCAAACAATTTTCTGAGTTGTTAAGGCTAGGGGAAGAATTTCCAGAAGAGCTGTCCATTTTCCTGAAGGAGCATCCAGATCTTCTTTGGCTTCATGATTTGTTCCTTCACCATTTTTCCTCTGCTTCAGAAACACTTCATATGTTGGCTCTCACACAAAACATGCAGTCTTCTGAAGAGGAAGAACAGGTGGATATGAAGTTGAAACTGACAGACAGAAAAAGTCTTTTATATCTATCTAAGATTGCAGCCTTTGCAGGTATGGCTGATGTGTCATTTTTCATGCGTTAAATGCAGATTATTTCTTTTCCCTCCGTACTATTTTCATTTCTCTAGATATTTTCATTCTGTGATAGATACTATTGTGGGATTATTGCATTGACATAATAGCAGCAGCTTTACTGTTTCTCTTTTGCTTATGGTTGAGAACTTTTGGATCACAAACCTTTGAGGTTGGGAATCTTTAATTTGCTTCTCCCTAAAATGTGTTATGTGCTTAAATCATGGCCTATGCCGCTGTCTTAACTTATGCTTTATGTGTATTTCGTTAGCCACTGCTTTAAATCATGTAGATCTAGTTTTTAAATCACCATAAGAAGACCGGTGTTTTATTTTCAGACCTTCAGTTTTCTAATGTATATGCAACATTGCCATAATAGATGCCAAATAAAGTGCATTTATGATTACTATTACCTCTCTTGTTCAACAGCTGGTAAAGATGCTGGTACTCAGGTGAAGGTGGATCGCATTGAGGCTGATTTGAAGATTCTAAAGTTGCAGGTACATTTGCGTATAATTGATCATTTTCAGTTTGTTGATTTTTTCCTTGATCGGATTCATCATTATTCATTGTAAATAGTAGACATTAATGAAACTTGGACTTCATAAACCTTATGTTTGAGAACCAATTTGCTATGTTTGAGTGAATAAACATGAAACTTGATTCTAAACACTTTGGGTTTTCAATTAAACTCTTGTTTACATAGTCCTTTAAGGTGTTAGGTAACCCCACTCAATTAGTTGTTGCTCAATAAGGTAGTTATTGTAAATAATTAGGTCAAGGTTGTGGGTTTCTGTGATGTATATGATGAAGTTGAATCAATTGGGGAAAGCTATCCAGTCATTTGAGAAGGTGCTGGGGGAATTAGGACATGTCTTTACAAATCCTCGAAGTTATACAATCTACACTATAATTAAGGGGAATTCTTCCCTAAATTTTCTAAGAAATTGTCTGCCTAGTGGCAGTTGAAGTTATGCGACTGTTTATGGGCTGCTTGTTTTTTGAAATCAGTATTTGCATTAGTTCATGAGAGCGTGCTCTGCTAAACCATGCACTGATAGATAAGCATTATCACATTCTTTTAAGAATCCTTTTCATATACTTTTCACTAATATACTTAGTCTGCAGGAGGAAGTAATGAAATGTCTTACTTCGCATGAAGATAAGCAACTTGTGGATGATCAGCTGCTTCATCCAGAAGACTTAATTAAATTGTGCTTGGAAGGTGAAGAGCCAGAGCTCTTGCTGTGGGCCTTTGACGTGTTTGCCTGGACCAGTTCGTCGTTTCGCAAGACCCACTGGAAACTTTTGGAGGATTGTTGGAAGAAGGCTGCCAGTCAGGATGATTGGAGTAAATTTCATGATGCATACACAGTTGAAGGATGGAGTGACGAAGAAACTCTACAGAACTTGAAGAATACTGTCCTTTTCCAGGCTTCAAGCAGGTGTTATGCACCCCAAAGTGAAACCTTTGAAGAAGGGTTTGACCAAGTATTGCCCTTGAGACAAGATAACATGGAGACTTCAACTTTGGGAGATATGAGCTCTTCAGTTGAAACAATACTGATGCAGCACAAAGATTTTCCAATTGCGGGCAAGCTGATGCTTATGGCAGTCATGTTAGGTAGTGAGCATAGTGGTGATGACAGGATAGAAGGAGGGCCTTCCCCTATGGAATAATGTGGCCAAATATAATTTTCTAACTGTAATACAAGCTGATGCAGGTTTTGTGCTGTCATGACATGTAAAAAGCAGGTTTCGTTTTCATTCCTCTATTCTGTGTATTGCATTCACACTTTAACCATTGGTGAAATTGGTGGTGGTACTGGATAGAAGTTATGGTATACAGTAGATTTAGGCCAGTATCAAAAGTAAAGAAAATGGTTAAATATCAAAAGCAACGTTTCTTGTACACGATTTTAAGTTAGTAACACACCATTCCATACACTATATAGTGTTGCAATGACTAGAGTAAACCGAAACAATGGCTTACTGTTTGTTTTGAAATGAAATTTTTTCTATTATTTCTTTTATTATACAAAGCAGTATAGTGTGATAATCATGTAATAAAATGTCACTCAAATAACGTTGATATTGGAGTTACTGAAATTGGCTAAACTAGCCGTCTTTGAATAACATTTTGATGCAGAAGTAATTCATTACCTAAACTCTAAACTGGTATATACTTGGTGACCTTCCACTTACAATCAATGAATTTTTTTACCTTCCATGTAGAACCATAAAACAAACCTCATAAGTCATAATTCATGATAATGTTGGTTAGAATCCTCTACAACATTTTATCATACAGATAAAGCAACATAAAATCCGAATGAAAAATATAATGCAACAACCCATGAATCTCCTATCTCTCTTTCTCTCTCACTCACGCTTGAAATCAAATCAAAGAAAGAAAAAAAAAACGTCTTCCTTCACATAAACAAACCCAAAGCAAACCTTTCTCTCTTAAACACAACAATAACTCATCTACAATATAAGAAAAAGAACTCTTTTTCCACGCGACACGTGGCTTCTTGAGAGAAGAGCAATTTTTGGTTCACAAATCTATCTTTTGTTTTCGTTCCATTTCGTTCCTTTGGATTCCATTGGATGGATAGTTGCAGTTACAAAATCACACCCAGACCCCTTCAATTCATTTTCCGTTCTCACCATTCCACTACCACTGATCTATGTAATGCAACCGTTACAATCTTTTCAAAACATTTCTTCTTTCAACCGCCCCACGGTCAATCATGATTCTTTCAACCGCTCCACGGTCAATCATGATTATAATATTTATAACCTCTATATTCGCTACTTCTTTCTCATCTTCGTCTCCCAAAAATACTCAACCATCAATCTGTGTTTTCTGCTTCACTCACCCGACACTATTTCATGGTCAGACCTGTGGCGAAAATCTGTGACATTAATGATAGTAAAAAGTTGTGGAAGGTCTCTCTGCGAGTGCATCATAAATGGAAGGTTCTCTCTAACAATAAAGAGCATTTTGAAATGATATTTGTGGACAAGGCAATGATTTTAGTTTTCTGTGCATATGTGAATCGTATGTTATTTTTTGTTTATTTTTATTTTTGTTTCATTAAACTTTTATGTGTATTTGTGTTGCGTAGGGTGGTGACATATATGTGGTTGTCTCAGCATCACACATGTCTCTGTTCGATAAAAAATTAGCATTGGACCATACTTACACGACATCCAATTTTAAGGTTTAGCCTAATGTGTTGGTTTTTAGACCTTCGTTGCACAAATTTTTGATCAAGTTTACCGGAAGAACGTCTGTTGGGGATGATAACAAAAATGAAATATCATCCAATCACTGGTGTTTACAAAGTTTTCTGATATAATCACCGATAACTTTAACAAGAATGTGCTGATAGGTGAAATAATTGTGTTGCGTGTTTTTGCAACATTTGTATTTCATAAGTTGTTTTGCTCTTATGTCGATTCCTTGTTTTTTCGTTTTTTAGACATCATTGGTATAGTTGAGAGTATTGGATATTCACAGACGCAGTCGGGTGCCAAAAAGTAGTAGTTTAATATGGTATTGAGGGAGCACATATTTGTATATCTACTTTCAAGATTCCTCTTTTTCGAATGTATGTTCCCTTCATATTTTAAATCACGCTGATGTATTGTTTATGTAGCAACAACACTATGAACTGCACCCTTTGGGAATCATATGCTGAGCAATTCGTGAAGTTCAACCAGGAACGAGGGGATGATTCGGGTCTGACTTTTGTTATGCTTTGGTATGCAAAATTCAAGGAACATGGTTAGTTGGTTTATTTTGTTGTTGGGTAATAAATTATTTTACCAAAATTCAGACTTATGTGTTGCTACGTTAATGTAGGAAAGTTTCTGCTATCGGTGACCAACACCTACAATGTCACGATGCTTTACCTCGATCCTGATTTTTCATCGATCAAACAATTTATAGACATGTAGATTTTCTGTAATATGGCTTATGATGGATTCCCAAATATGTTACGTGGACTTTTTACAATTATGTTATTCATGCAGCATGCCTAAGGACTCAATGATTATTACATCTGGGCAGCTAGTCTCTAATTCTCAACTTTCATCAAAGAGCTATAAAAATTAGCAACTGAATCATGTTCAAAAGTTACTTTCTAAGGCTGTTATTATGCCTATTGCTGATATCATTAAACTTGGATCTGTATATACTCTGTTGGTTTACAATTTCTGTTAATTTATTTACTTATTTGTCCACGTGATTCCGTTAGCCCCATATTATATTAAAGTTGTCTGTCGTATATGTAGATCACATTTTGTGCAACTATTGGTGAAACTAAAATATTGGTTGCGTCTCCTTATGACTGGTACTATCGTGCTTGTCATACTTGCTCATGCATGACACGTGGTGACAAACCTCCATTTGAGTGTGAGGCTGGTCATTTGACTGAGCCAAAGATATTTAGGTATTACTACTTCTCATCTGATATTCGTTGTTGCATTGAAAATGAAATCTCTCTTGTAGGTATATGTATGTAATCCTGTTTATTTTGCCCATTATTCTCGATATTATAGGTATAAGATTGAGATCCAAGTTTGTCACGCAGGGAAAAGTTGTAACTTTCTATTTTGGAACACGGAATACGAGCTTCTTTTGGGTTTATCTACTTCTCAGTTGCGTCATACTATGATCAAGGTTAGTGGTTTTTTTAATAGAGAAACCTATGCAGTTTTTATGCACATTAATGGTCATCGTGTTGCTTCCTTATATAGGCTGGAATTCATTATCCATTGGAGGTTCCCATTAGCACTCGATCATATGTTGGATTTGAAAATGGCTTTTAAGATCAAGTGGCAGCCGCGTTGGAAGAATTGTTCAATGGTTATGCTCTTGAAAAATGACCCTTCCATCAAATAACTCGGCGCTAAATTAGAAACAGTTGAGGTATAATACATATATACCTTCATTGTATGTTTTACGTTGTTTATTTATTGTCATCTACAAGTTTTCTTCTGATCATACTTTAATTGCATCGCAAAGGAATCCGCTACGCTCTATTACACCAGACCCGCTGCAGGTATTTACCTTACTATAGTATTTTATTATGATTAAGTTTTATTGGATTTGTTATGACGTTGATGTATGTTATGTGCTACTAATACTTATTATTATCTTTAGATCAAGGAGAGTGTTAATGAGGCAAAATCGAGTGCCCTCGAAGAATCTGATTTGATTACGGTAACTTTCATTTTCCTTCCGGCTTGTGCATAGTTTAAATTGGTCTACATAATATATATTGGTTCATGTAACTCAAAATATTTTTGAAATTCATTATGTAACAGGATCTTGAGATCACATCCAAGCACAACCTGAATTCTATTACGCCTGTTGGCAAAAGACAATTTCCAGGTGCATCGAGTGAATCAACAAGCTCGGAAGGATTTTGTGATGGAGAACTGTCATCAAACTAGCTCAAGAAAATTATCAAAGTGGGGAAGAATTATTAGTGGTGGCTATAGTTTGTTATGTGTCTTCAGTTGTTTTACTTTAGTTTTATGTTGACAATGATTCTTATTTTGGTTTTATCACTATTATCTTTGTTTGTTTGGATATGCATGTTTGGATTTGTGTTACTTTAAGTTGTCACAACTTAGTGCTAACACACATTTCTGCATTTGTGTTTTGATTAAATGATAATGTTTACTTATTTGTTTGTAATTATAATTATAAAATTATTGGTATATTGTTGTTCCTATGAAACAAAAGGGACCAATCTATTGTTTTGGAGTTGCATGTCCCTGTAACCAAGTGAAGTCAGATTTAGGCCTTGCATTGCCAGACCATGTGAAAAGAACTCTCATTAACCAAGCTTTACAACATTGTCGGCTTTTCAACCAAGCTTCAGAAGACTGTCACATGTTGGAATACCCTTCGATGATTTGTATTCATACATTGTTTCTGTGTCTTGAGAAGAATGTAATGATGCACTCTTTATTTTTTCTAGCGGATTACATTTTGTAATACTTATGCTAATTAATAGTCAGCTCATTGGGAAATGAAGAACATAACTCTTTACATATCGTAGTCGTTCGTGTATAGTTCTCTATGTACCACCACTTCATGTGTTTAATAATATTAAGAAATAAATTATCCAATGGTTGTTTTGTTTTCACTGGGTTCTTTGTATCACCTATACTGTATGAACATGATAATGAAATAACAACCATTTGATGTTACTTTCCTATTCCTGCGTATCAAGACATCCTGATCGAATGGAACAATTTATCCCACACCTGTTTTAACTCTATGCAGGAAAAGTAATCCAGTCATCAATATTTTGATTTTCATGTTCAAGTTGTATTTAAACTCGTGCATCATATTATCCCACCAATTCTCCATATTTCCTACATTTTCATTTTGATTCGACATACATTTTACAATACATAAATCAATGTTCTATTCCTATTCCTGCCGTTGATACCATAATGATGAAATAACATCTATTTGATGTCATTTTCCTATTTCTGCGTATCAAAACATCCTGATCGAACGAAACAATTTATCACACACCTGTTTTAACTCTGTGCAGGCAAAGTAAGACAATCGTTGATAACTTATGTATTTTCATGTTCAAGTTGTATTTAGACACATGCATCATATTATCCCACCGATTCTCCATATTTCA